TCATTTATCATTTGCTGAGTAAACACAGAACAGATATACGCCCGTTGTTTTTCTTTTAGCCAACCCAGCACATTTAACTACACAGCTAAAGGTAGCTTCTGATAAGAGATGTAAATATTTGCCTTTCCTACTTAGCGACAAGGACAATGCTTGTACAAGCCACTTTCGCTAGCCAGCCTCTCACTCTGCTTGGTACATTAGCCTAGAGCGTTCAGAGCACACAAGCAGCCTTATCAGCCTCCGCCCTGTCGAGCGTCAAGTCTGTCCCTCACCTCGCCAGGGGCCTTCCCAAGCAGCTCTCAGTGCGCAGGTCAGCTGGCCCCCAAAGGGTCCCTGCATGCACCCAGCAGTGGATATAGACTTCAAGTATTCCCAAACTGCTTCCCAGGGGCCAGCAGTGACACAAAGGGAGGCCGTGGTGTCTCAGGCTTTTCTGTTGGTCCCTGTAAGTGTCCTGTGCAGCAGTCACCCACATCCACAAAGCATTTCACGTCCACTTCATAGCTATGAGCAAGCAAAGCAAAACCCTACAGCTCTACGATGACCTTAGTTTAGCAACCAGCGCTAGATGTTCTATCTGACGCTGTGTATGTCAGGAGCAGGAAAATGTGTTCAAATGAGCTACTTCAATGGGAAAAAAAATTCTAAACTTCAGCAAGGCTTCTTGGAATTTTTTTTAATAAAGTGCTTGTGCAGAAATGGGTTCTACGGGCTGAGTCTAAGATTGACGCCAAGACAAAACCAGCTAGAGCGAGAACTTTTCAATTTAAGGAAATTCTCTTGAGTACATTTCACAAGAATCACTACAAGTAAATGAGGGACCCTGATGGCAGCAAAATGATTTAAACATCTAAGATGTTTAGAATAGATTAGGACTGACAGATTAATTAGATACAGAAATCTGACTTTTAAAAACAGGGGTATTTTCTAAGAGCTCCCTGGTAGGGCAATGGTTTCGCCATCCCACAGAGCTCCCTGGTAGGGCAATGGTTTCGCCATCCCACAGGGAAGCCATCCACCTAGCACTCGCCCAGACGGGCTCCTGAGCCGCGCCATCTCCACGCAGGGCCCAAGGCCCCCCAACACGCTCTGTGAGCCTGCAAGTTCAGAGGCGTAGTGTCTACTTCTGGCTGGTCCACGCCTGAGAAACCACGTTGGTATGAAACATAAACATAAGTCAAATGAGCCTTCATGGCCTGGGAGGAGGACAGCAGGGTGGAAACAAGAACGAATCGACGGAGTATGCTGACCAAATAACCTAGCTGTGATTGGTGCAATTAGGGCTCAGGTTTACATCTAGTTATAACACTAGACTTTGTGATAGAAATAGAATTTGAAAGAAAGTGGATGGCAACATTTTCAATTAAAATAAATTAGCTAAAGTAAAATTAGAACTAGAGGCTTGGGTGTTAGGGTGTAGCTCAGCAACAGAGCACTTGCCTAGCATGAGAAAGGCCCTGGGTTCTACCCCTACCTCCACCAGAAGAAAAACCAGAATTTAATTAAAGCAAATGGCTACAAAGTATATGTAAATAAAAATCAGTATTTATAAGGCAATTAGTATTCAAAATGGACAGCTAGTTTTAGATCCATGAAAGTATTTTTGTCTGAATTTCACATAGTAATTAGTTGAGTTAAACAGTATAAAATAAGGGCCAGAGAGATAAACCAGTGGCTTAATCACCTGCCTGGCAAGCGCAAGGTCCTGAGTTCAATCCCTAGTACCTAAAAAAAAAATTTGTAAGTGTAAAATATATTCTCATAAATAGAATCACATAGCTCTGAAAACTTGCTGTTTAAGGTAAAACTGTTAATTCTAGAATTAATCATTCCTTTATTCAGCTGTGTATAGAGTTTCACATATTGGGTTAGTTATCCCTTAAAAAAACACTTCTGATGTGAAATTTCCAACATTTTCTTTTTCTTTCTTTCTTTCTTTCTTTCTTTCTTTCTTTTTCTTTTTTTTTACAAAACTGGGGATTGAACTCAAGTCCTTGCACTTGTCAGAGAAGCGCTTATTCTACTGAGCCATCTCCCTGGCCCAACATTTTCTGAGTATTCTGAAAAGTTAGATTTAAAAAAAAAAACTCCTTATGATCAGCTTGGACAGGTTAAAGAATTTTATTATTATTATCATCTAACCTTGGAGAAAGCCATCTGACTGAAAATGATGAGAAGTTTCCACCCTAAATCCATCTGCAAGGAAGTCCTAGGAAAATCACTACCAACACCCCTGACCTAGCTGCTCCTCTCCCCTGGAGCCCAGGCCAAGCTACCCCTGCTCAGCCCAACAGCTTCCACCCCCCAGGAAGGCCTGGGCCTGCGTCCACATGGGGTGGAGACCACGCCAGCTCACAACCAGGAAGCAGCCTCTTGTGATTGCCAGTTTCTTGGGGACCTTCCCAGCGGTAGTGTTCCTAGACTGAATCCAGAAGCTACCTGTAGTCTAAATAAAGTAAACCTGACTTTCCTAAACCATCTGGTCACCTACGCCTCCCTCATGCTGGACCTCAGTGTGGATCTTTATAGCCTTGAGGAGATACTCGGACTAGAAAGATGTGATTCATTAAAGAGAGAGGGAGGGGGAGAGAGAGAGAGAGAGAGAGAGAGAGAGAGAGAGAGAGAGAGAGAGAGAGAGAGAGAAAAGTAAAACAAGTCCAGGTACTAACAGGCAGTTAAACTTGACTCCTGTGGACAAAGTCATCTTGAAGATGAAAAAGTTCTGGGCGGTAGTCACAGTTGCCTAACGATGTGCATATACTGAATACCATGAACTGTATAATTTAAAATGGCTAAGGCGGTGAACTCTGTATAAACCATTTGCCACAGCACAATGTCAGTCTTGTACTAATATTCATACAGCCCCCACCCCAGTAAGAATATATATGGCCAAAATTAAAGAAACTCACTCTAAAATCAGAAAAGGACAAGGCATTACATTTCCAGTTTTGCTGAAGTGCTCTCATCATTTAAACTATATAAAGATAGGCCATTCAAGCGTTAGCACCACACAGTAGCTCCCCTCAACATTACTGCTGGCATTTAAAAGTGATTCTAATTTATGTGCAGCCCCTTCTGGCTAATTTACTGTGTTCCTTATAAAACTAAATAAAAACAGAAACAACAACAAAAGAACCTACTATCATTCCCTAAAAATGTTCTGTATGGATTCTTTTCCAAAACAGTGGCTACAGTTTCTTCCTACTTTTTATTTTCACTAAACTGAAATGTGGTTTTTCATAATTTGGACTATTTGTGCTCCACGCTACCTGAAACACACTTGGAATGAACAGACTGGGGTGAGTGGTGCCACGGCTACAGGCTGGCAATCCTGTGGGCACCGCTCTTTCAGTGCCAGGCAGATGTAGAAATCCTTACCTTGGGTACGGCGATGGAGGGGAGGCGAGCGCCAGCTAGCCTCACAGATGCTCTCATTGGTGTCAAGAGTTCCATAAACAGCAGTCACAAAAGCCTGCAGCAAGCTGTCAGGATGCCTCCTTGTAAACAAAAAAGTCCAGTTCATGTTTTCTTGGTCACAGAATCTAGCAAACAGACCAATCGTGACAGTGCCAGTTACGTCACAGGCTTGCCCAAACCACGGCAGGCCAAGCAGCAAGGGGCTGGCTGTGCAGGTGTAGCCAGAACCCTGGTTTTGCCAAAGGAACGCGAAGCCCCTCCATCCGAGTTCACTGATTTTCAAGAAGAAATTGAAACGCAGCACCGCCGCTGCGCACCTCCTGCACAGCTCACAACCGACCACCTCCACTGCAGAAGAGCATGAATGCTAACTCCAGATGCCGTAGCACTTAATGCAAGTGTTTTAAAAAAATTTATTGAAGAAATGTGAACATAAGGGGGAATGTTAGCACCGAACACCCTATTAAGCAAATCCCATACTTGTTAAAGAGAGAAACGTGTGACTCTGTAGTATGTCATTAACAAAATTTTAAAATTTGTTTTATATTTATTGAAACTCAAAACAGATGAGCCAAGTACCTCTAAAAGATTAGCAAAGGAAGATTAGCAAATGGAAGTGGAGAAGTACTTCCACAAAGACGACGACCAAAAATTAGCCTGAGAACAAGTGCAACACTTGGACTCGTGACCTCGGTGCCAGTCTGCCAAGCCCACACACAGTCCTGCAGACTACGCGCTGGGCCTGGGCGCTGGCGGGGCTGGGCTTCTCCCCCAGCCTCTTCCAGCTTCTCAGGGTCCCCAGCACTCCCTCCATCTCCAAAGCTAGCGATAGTGCCTCTCTCTCCTCCCAACTCTCACTCTCCCAACTCCCCGCTTCATTTTTGATTCGAAGAGGCCCAGCTGCAGACTCCAGAGAGCCTCTCTCCAAGCCTGGCGCACGGGGGCCTGAGGTTCAGCTGTAACCTGCCTAGCGTCTCTGTCTGGCGTCATTACTTGGCCTGCCACAAAGAGAGTCTTCTCATTAAATACACATGTAAATATACATGAAATACACAAAATTAATATTTTTTGTGATAGTTCAATAACTGTCATTCATTTGTTCTAATCCACAGAATTTATCTTTTTTAATCTAAATAAAACTCATTAAAGTGGCCAAATACAACCATGGCAAAAAAGCTAAGGGCTGTAACTAAATGTATAGTATTACAAAGTAGTGGTTATTTGTGTGCGTTTATATGTATATATAAACATATACAAATATATATATACACACACACACACATAATGTGAATGTTAATCAAGTGGCTCTAGAAAATGAATGCGTAACAAAGATTCTCCAAAAGGTAATGCTTATAAAATACAGCCATGCTTACAAGGGTCCAGAAGCAGCCCCAGAGGAGATTCTTAGTAAAGGACGCAGAGGTCAGGGACCAAGAGAATGCTTCTTTCCTGGTTGCCATCTTCCTTGTTCTCTCCTCACTCGCGGCCTTTCGCTGTCCACACTGAAACTGCCGGGAGTCGTGGAGGCGCGCTGCTGCCATGGGGCCAGCCCAGGCACCATCAGATCACCAACCCCGGTGATAACGGTGCCGCTGTTTCTGAGGAAGCCATGGAGCAACGAGGGGCAGTCAGTCACGTACCAGTCAGCCAGCGTACCTGTAATTCCAGAGCAAAGGCCCTAATTCCTTCCAGGGCTCACAAGTCAGCTTTGGTTTTTGAAAAATACTGTGCTTGCAAGTATGACCACTGTCACTGGCAAGAGCTTGTACCCTGTGCATGGCAGATTTAAAAGACAGGAATGTGGTAGTGACGGTCATTTTCAGTCAGCAGGGAGATCTCTGGCCACTCCCTGAGAGGCTCCTGTGGATAGCACACCGCGAAGTCTTTGGAGTTGAACTTGAACAGTCGGAACACTTTTATCTTCACTTCAAGGGAGTAACCCAGTACAAACATATCAATCTGGCGACAGGATGAAAGAAAGGTCACTAATACGCCTTTTTACATTCCTGCCTCCCACCTCGGTGGGGGTGTTCTTCTGCAGCGCATGAAATGACCTCCTTGTTTACAGCCCCACCCATCAACCTCCGAGTGGGCACAGACTTAGGACAAGCGCCCATTGTGCGTGAGGAGGAGGACAAGAGCAGGGACATCTCTAGACAGGCTCAAGGAAATCAGAGGAAAAAACTGCTCAGACGACTTTAACTAAAAAGGAATACTCACAATTACAAGTTACACTGTTTTCCAACCAGCCCGAGCCCATTCCAAATCAATTTGTATAAGATAATCATGCTTACTCTCTAGGCAAGCAAAACAATGAGACCCTTATCCATGGGAAAAATACTTAACATTTTATTGGGAAAATTATTTTCTGGACCCAACATTTTTAGTAATTTCTATTTATCTACTACATAACCACAAGCTGTGCTGAAGTGGTCTCGGTTTCGAGCGGGCCTTTCTCCTGGTTACGTCTCTGCCGGAGAACGCACCACCAAAGTGCGAGCGAGGCTGCACGGTTCCCAGGCCCTCTGGCCTGCAGGGCAGGCAGCATGCGGTGCACCCCAGGAAGGCTCGGCACTCTGCCTTTCCTCACTGGGCCAGGACTGCCAAGCAGGTGGCTCTGGGCAGCGGGCTCAGCGCTGCCGAAAGCACGCTGCCAAGGCCCATGCGCCTGGGCACAGCCTGCATTAAGCACGTGCATCTCCTCCTCCCGTCCTACCTGCTCTAGTCCACACGTGTCACCCACAGCATTCAGGTGATTCATCATGAAGCTCAAAGGGTCTGACGACGTCTCTCTAGAAAACAGGAGTCTGAAAAGACTCGGAATGATCCTGTTAGTCTTCATTTGCTCATAAACTTCAGTGACTTGATACAGCATGATGAACTTTAAAGCTTCGTAAAGCTTGTACTCCAAGATGGCATCAGAAAAAAGGATGTTGCACATGCTTCCTCTCCTGTGATAATCCTTAATACCACTAAATTCAGTCCACTAAAAAACACAGATGGGAGGTGAGGTAAAAATACACATCACAGCATGAACTTACAGCGCTGATAACACAGGGCAAAGCCTGAGAGAGGGGAACACGACGTGTACTGAAATTAAGAATGTACAACAGTAGGACACAATACCATTAACCCCCTCCGGCACTCCCACTCCCGCTGAACACACCTATCTCACGGTTCTTACCACTTTCTCTTTTTTGGTACCAGGAATCAAACTCAGGACCTTGTCCTTGCCAGGCAGGCGCCCATGCCGCTGAGCTATCTCCCCAGCCCTCTCTCGCCACTTTCTCAAGGAGTCCTGGAGTCCCCAGCCATGTCTCCAGTTACGCCGCTGTGGCAGCCCTGAAGTCCTGAATGCACTCCACGTGCTTCCCTTTCAGGGTCACTCTGACTTTGGGGAAAAGCCAGAAGTCATACAGTGCCAAGATGGTGAATAAGGTGGATGAGGACACACGGGAAGGGTTTGGAGATGGCCCTCCTGCTGGGAGATGGGCCTCCTGTGCCACACGTGTGCTCACACTTTCCAAAGACACTTAGGAAAGGACTACTCCTGGAACTGGCAGGTAGACGGAGCAAGTATGTTCACAGGCGTGGGAGTATTGAAGCGGAATTAATGGCAACATGTTATTTACTCTAACAATTTTTTTTTTTAATTAAACATTCATATGCAGCTCAGACTTCTAGTGATCCTCCTGTCTTCAGCCTCCCCAGCACTGGGATTGCAGGTATGCACCCCCACCAGGTGGCCTTGGTGGCTGGCTCAGCACACCCTGGGAGGGGCCAGCGTGGCATGTGGTGCTGGGGATTGAACCCCAGTGCCTGTATTTGCCTAAGCAGGCGCTTAGTCCACTGAGCTATCTCACTGGCTCACATTCATCATATTTTTGATCACCCTTTCTAAAGCTTGGCAGGGAAGTGCTTATTCTACTGAGCCATCTCCCTAGACCTTTTTTTGCACTTTAAAAAAAATGTATTTAGGACAGGGTCTACAGGGTCTCACTAAGTGGATCAGACTCGTAGTGATTCTCCTGCTTTCAGCCTCTGAAGCGCTGGGATTATAGGCTCACACCACCATGCCCAGTCTCAACTGCTGTCTCAGCGCACCCCAGGTGTGAGGCAGGCATGTCAGGCCAGGACCCCCAGCCCGTGTCTGCCTACACAGGTGCTTTAATCCACTGAGCTATCTGGCTGGCCCTTGCACTGACTTTTTAATTTTTTGAAGTTTATTATTTATTTTAAAGAGAAAAAACAATAAAGGTTTCAAACAGGTTAGCTGAAAGGTTATAGTAACACATTGTACACTGTCTTCCCAGTAATTACCCAAAGTGTGACGTCTTGGCCAAACAGTCTGAGCAGAAACCTCGCCTTTCAGTGAGCTAAGAGAAGCCAGCTGTGGTACTACCTTAACTACCTCGTGTATGAATACATTTTTTTCTTTTTCCCTTTCTTCCTTTCCCCCATCATAATTTGTCTTTTCTTTTTAACAGCTTCTTCCCAACACACAATGTCTATTGTATATTTTGATTCTTCTTCAGTTTCTCACACTAGTGAGACAATTCAATACTTTTTTTTTTTTTAATATTCTCTTATTTATTTATTTATTTATTTAGTGTCTGTGTGTGGCCAGCTCAGCCCACCAGGGGGCGGGACTGGCTGGCATGTGGTGCTGGGAGATTGAACCGCGGTCCCTCTGTTTTGCTAAGCTTGTTCTAAGTAGGTGCTTTAGACCACTGAGCCATCTCACCACCCCGACAATTCAATACTTAAAAAAAAAAAAAAAATTGGTGTTTCCCTAGTGTAAGAAACTAAAAGAGTAAATAAAATCTGAGAGGTATGATAGATATTGTAAGAGGGAAAGAAACTGCTCAAAGGGAAAGAACAACTGGGATGGAGAAAGGAGGAAAGAGGAGGGAAAGAAAAAACACACATATATTCACACATCCAAGATGGCTGAGATAACTATGCTACTAACTCCTTGCCAGGAGCAGAAACGCTTGTTGGATCCACTCTGCACGCCTGCACCTGGCGGGCTAAACCACGACCTTGAAGAAAGCAGTGTGCAGTACAACCACCATTTCTAATTTCCTACCATCTTATTTGGAAATTCCACTGTTTTCAAATTTTTTATTCTCTCTAAAAAAAAAAAAAAAGCCATTATACTGTGATAGACTGAAAATTTGTTCCCCCCAAGGCCACAGGTGAATGCCTAATTCACGGGTGGTGGCACAGGCGACAAGGCCTTTGGGGGCGACCAGCTCCTTGGGTGGGGCCCTCAGGGATGGGACTGGAGCCCTCGTAGCCGGAGGCCAGAGAGCGGAGCAGTCTTCCTCTTGCCACGGGAGGGCTCAGCACGAAGATAACCAAGCGGAGGCCCTCGTCAAACCACCCTGGTGGCCCCTCATTTCAGACTTTGGCATCCGGTTTCTGGTATTCTGTTATAGCAGGTACCTCACCATTTTACAATAACAAGAAAGTTGCAAAGAATATTTTTACAAAAAGGCATCTCCCGGTGGGTAAAGCACCAGGCACATCAGTCCTCTGAAACCGCCACGCAGAGCAGTTGGGCTTTCTGAGAGCTACTCCAGCGAAGAGCAGTGCCAGGGCTCTGCACACTCCCTGCACACCAGGCGAGCCCAGAGTGCTCGATGCGCACGACGTCATGGAGCCCTCTTGGTGTTTGCTACTCCGCTGTCTCCTACAGACACAGCGAGCATGGTTCAGCAAGCCTCAGGGCCTTCTCAGGGAAAGCGGGCTCACTACTCGTCCACGGTCCACGCCACCTGGAAGGGCAGGGCGACCTCTGGCCCACCGCTGTGAACAGGGCGCGTGGCAGGGCTCCCTGTTTAGATGCCGCACCACAGTTTTGCAAGGAAACAAGGGTGCGTGACTGTCATGGCCTAATTATAGCTTAGGACAATGTTGCTCTTCCTTACTTGGAAAAGAAAGAAGTACTCAACCAGTGGAAGGAGCACTGCCCCTGCATTTCTTACTCTCCTCACTGGAAGTGACATCCCGGGATCAGGGAAGGCTGGCTGTGGCAGGCCGAGTTCACGTTCACGCTCTTTGTGCTGCTTTTTCCCACTAAACACTCACCTGCGTTTTCAGCAGTTCCACACATTTACGTAACTTTCCGAACACATTTGAACCTGTGTACTTCTCAGGACCAAAACTGTATTGCTGAATCCAATTACAACCTTGGGAAAACAGCAGTTTTTCAGGAAGCTTAAAAAGAAAGTCGAGGCCAACAACAGTTAGTATCTCCACATCTGCACACCCAATGTGGAGTACACTGGAGCGCATAATCTCACCTCAGCTAGCAGCTTCAGCTAAAAGACCACAAGTTAGGTGAGGTAAAAGGCATATACTCATCTTGCCCTTAGATTTGTGAATTATAATCTAAAGATTATATTTTGACATCACTTCCTATGTGACAGGAATCTAAATATAGAATTATGCCCATAGAAACAATCTTTTTGAAGAAGACACTTCTTAAAAATCTTTTATTTATTTGGTCCAGGGCCTCACTATATAGCTGACTCATAGTGATGCTCCTCTCTCAGGCTCCCCAGCGCTGGGATTACAGTCGTGCACCACCATGCCCAGTTTCAGTGGCCAGCTTGGTGCAGGGCTGGCATGGCACGCAGTACCAGGGATCGAACCCAGGTTCTCGTGCTTGCCAGAACGGCACTTAGACTGGCGAGCTATCTCCCGGGCCCCTAGACACTATTTTTAACCAAAGGATGACAGAGAAAAACAGTGTAGCAGGGAACAGAAAGATTATACAACACAGCCCACCCTGATGCAAACCAGCTATTACTCATCAGCGGAGAGAGGCTTCATTTTCACCTCTTAGCTTTATTTTCCACTGAAATTAAAGACAGTACTATCCATTCCACAGGGCTCTCGTGGGCACTGGAGGACATTATGCCGTTTGGAAGAATCTGAACCTCTGCAATATCCAACATGCCTCCCCCTCGACTCTGCTTGTTAAGCGCTGGGCCTCTGGTATAGTCTTTGCCCCCAGCAAGGGCCAACAGGGCTAGCACACTGCATGCACTTGGCAAGTATTTGCCAGATAAATAAAATTAATAAAAACAAGTTCAAATAAAAGACATCAAAGAAATATGAATCTATGTATTTCTTTGCCCTTCTATCCCAGATTAGGCATACTGCACTCAACATTAAAATTAAGGTTGTTAAAGAATATACTGCTGTACCCTGTCAAGAAAATGACAGGACAAGCCATAGACTAGGAGAAAATACCTGCAAATCAGACATCTGACAAAACGTTTGTACTTAGAATTCTCAAAATTCAACAGTAAGAAAATTAACCCAGGGGGCCTGGCCCTAGCTCAGTCCTTTAAGTGGCTGCTTCCACAAAGCTGTCAGCCTCAGGTGGCTGGAGTTCGAACCTCACAACTCTCCCGCTGGCCAAAAGTGCCCTGAAGGCATTCGAGGAACAAAAAAAAAAAAAAAAAGAAAATTAACCCAATAAAAAGTGGGCCAAGGGTTCCGAGGGACACTTTTCCAGGAAGATAAAATGGACAGAAAGCACAGGCAAAAATGCTCAACATTGCTACTCAGTGGGAAACAACTGAAAGCACAGTGACATCAGCACACACCGATCAGAAGTCTGACGACACCAGGTGCTGGTGAGGATGTGCAGCAACTGGGAGGCGATCCACTCTGGAAATGGCATGGCAGTTTCTTGTGAAGCTAAGGAGACACCTCCCATGCCAGGAAAATCTAACTCTTAGGTACTTACCTGAAAGAAATGTAAACTAATGTTCATACAAGATCCTGTATAAGAACTTTTTTTCTTTTGATACAGGGTCTTGCTACACAGTTCAGACAAGGAGTGATCCTCCTGTCTCTGTTCCTAGTGCTGGGCCTGCTGTATAAGAATATTTAAAACAGCTTTCTTCACAGTTACTAAACACTGGACAAAACCCAGGTGTCCTTCAACTATTTAGTGGATAAAAAAAATTGTGCTACATTCCTATAGAAGAGCACCACTCTAAAACACGAACTGCACACATTTTGCTGAAGCAAAAAAGAGATTCAAAGCTACATACTGGACTACATGACAGCACCTATATGACATTCTGGAGAGTGTGACATCATAGGGGCAAAAACAGACTGGGGCTGCCTGGGCTAGAGGCCAGAGAGCAAATGACTATCAAGATACACAAGAGAAGCTCTGGGTGGCGGTTACATACGATATGAATTTGCTTAAAAATCTCCTAACTTCTGAGTAAGCACACGACACTCAAAGATGGGGCATTAGAAATAAACCCAAGTGTGACATCTTTTCTGAGGCAGATTTGCAAGCTGGCCTAACAGGCAGAAGACAGTTAAATGGCCCCACAAAGTTCCTCCAATCTCGTGATCCCAAGTACAGAGCTCCCAGAGAACCCTGGGGGCTTTCAACCTGCAGGCACCGTGCACAGGACGGGGCCTGTGTGCCCGTGTGGGCGCATACCTTAACGATGTCCTTTTCCTTCATCCAGGATGGAAAAGAAAGGCCCTGGCTGAATATCTGAAACAGCACCGATCTCAGCGCATCATAATTATCTCTCTTTACTTGTCGAACACATTTAATGTGGTGCCTCCAGAACAGCTCCTCATAAGCCTATCAGGACAGAAAGAGAGCTTTAGTTAAATGCACAGGATAGGAGAAGAAGAATGCTGAGAACACACTGAAAAAGTGTTTTCAGTGAGCTGTTCCTCCATCAGAAATAAAGATGAATTATGTCTATAGCTGTGTGTAACTTCAGAATGACTCTCACAGACCAGCTCTGCATCATCCTATTTCAGACAACAAGTCCCGGAAGGCCAAGGCAGGTCATGGGGTTGATAATGGCTACAACACAACCCCAGTGAAAAGGCCTGTATGATTTCTAAGGTCACTCTAAAGAGTCCTTTCAATGCACCTTCTCTTTTTTTCTTTGCTTTTGCCAGTGACAAGATGGGGCAGCACTTTGGAGAGTGTTTACCAAAATTAGTCCAGTGGAAAATTCTAAAGTTCCTCAAAATACTTATGTCAGGGTGCTTGACCCGTCCAGGAAGAGACTCCACTGCACACACAGATGTTTCTCAGGCCTGGCGGGGAGCTGAAAGCCCAAGACTCAGGCTTCCTGAGCCTGCAGACCTCACTTAGGTGCTTAGGCGTTCAAGGCACAGGCTCTGGAGCCAGCCTCTAGCAGCCGTGTGCCTTCCGAATGCAAGCCACGGCACCCCTGTACCCTTCCAGTACAGGCTGATCTCTAGATTTACTACAGCAGAGCGGAGAGTTCCCCGACTCTGACGAGGGCAGACATACCTTCCGCATCAGCTTGGCCCGGGGTGCTTCTCCTTTCCATTCTCTTGCACAATAACTGAGCAAGTCAACCTCGGCCTCCACACTGAGGTTCCCTGGACCAAATCAAAAATAAAAGGCAGTTAATTTTCCCTTTTCCCTCCCTCTTGGCCCTCATTTGCACCCTATATATAAGGAAATATGCATAAAATATTTACTTTTGAATTTTCTCTGCAGATAGCCGATCCACCTGAAAAGTAAAGTAAACAACAATATCAGAAATCTGCACTGAAGCCTGAGGGTTTCTGGGAGATTTCAAGGTGGGGCGCTGACGTACCACTTCAGCCGGTGTCCTAAATACAGGTGCAGTGTCCTGAAGGAGCAGGCGGCAGCCACCAGCAGTGACACGGCTGTCATCACAGAGCCCCTGGCGATGCGCCAGGCAGCGTCTAGGGCCTGGCTTGGAACTAGTGTCCAGGAGTGAACTTGGTCACTTCCTGCAAAAATCAAACAAGAAAAAAGCCTATAGCAATTAAATAAATCTCCTTTAAAGGAAAAAATATACCTTGAGTCATTTTGCCTATCAAGTATCTATCACTGATTTTAATATTTTAAAGTATTCAAAAATTCAATCTGAAAATTAAAGAAACCCCTAGTTCTCATACTCAGCATCATAAAAGAACATCTTTGTAGCACAAAATTAAGTAGGGATTAAAAAAAAGGGGGGAAGGACTTCGGAATCCAGACTTTACTTCTATGATTTTACTATTTCTTTTCTAGCTCTATGACTGAGGCAACCTGCCTCCTACCACCTTATATTTTCTGGACAATAAAATGAGAGAGAAAATAGCAGCCCTGCTGGGGGAAGGCAAATACAAGCAGTTCAGCCAGGGCTCACGCCAGGCACCTGCCAAGTGCCCGCTGAACGTGTGCGCACTCACGGGGACTCGATCCAGCCCAGGTGCATGCAGCAATGGAGCCAATGGCGCCAGACCCACCTCTGCCCGCTGTTGTCGTACTGGTCAGGACTGGTCACAGAATGTGGCATCCTTTTACTTACACAGAATGAGCGGCTCGAAACAGCAGGAACACTGATGGCATTTCCAGAAAGTGGGCACAAAACAGCAAAGTCAGGAGGTGGACTGGGCCACACTGGTTCGAAGGCACAGCGGCTGCTGATCTCATGGGGGGTAAACTAATAAATAGGCCTGGGAGCTCCCGCAGAGCACCTACAAGGCTTTGCTGTGCTCAGGAGATTCCCACTTCTACTCCACGTGAGCATGCACAGTGTGAAGTGCAAAGGAGGAAGAGGGCTTCAGAGCACGGCCAGCCCTCCTGGGCGGGCTGTGAAATCGCTTCCTCCAGCGCACACACTTAGTAAAATTCCAGTGATCAGACACAGTGAAAGCCTGTTGACGTGGACTCTGTGATCCTGGTATTTCTGATGATCAGGCTATTTGATGACACTGGCGCTCTTAACCAAAAGTAACTTACGGACAAATACTAAAAACAAGTTACCAGAAAATTAAGAAAATGCATTTCCAGTCACTTAAAATGACAATTTCAAACAAGTGCTTGTCTATTTAGAATAATTAGCTATTCAAATCATATTTGCTACTACCTAGAAACTTGGTAAATTTCTTTTATATTTAAAAATATAAAACTATCCTACTTTTGCATCTATGATTTACCTTTTCATTAATTCAGACAGCTTTGTCAACTTTGAAAATTCTGGCAGGCAAATAATTTTAGTAAATTCTGCAATTCATAAGAGAATTAATATTGTGTCTGTGAGGACCATAACTTCTTTTATTGTAGCTTGGACATTTTCTAGAGCAATGTGGTACACTACAGGTGGACCCGACGGTGCATGTCTGTTACCCTGGATCTCTTGGAGGCTGAGGCAGAAGTGTCACAAGTTTAAGCCAGCCTAAGCACTGAGTGACCTGGCAGACCCTGCTAACAGAACAGAGGGCTGCAGGCGAAGCTCAGCACGAAGGCTCCAGGATTAACCCCCAGAAGAAAGATCACCTAACACGGTACATGTCGTATTTCTGGTTCCAGGCACTTAAAATGACAATTTCAAACAAAGTGATTATTTAGAATAATTAGCTATTCAAATCATATTTGCTACTACCTAGAAACTTGGTAAAGGGAGGGAACTTAACCATGAGCACCATGGGCACCGGGCAGCCTGCTGAGGGGTGTGGGAGAAGGCTCGCAGGGTACATGCAGGAAAAGCTTGGCTTCCCCAACAACTAAAATACCTACAATCTGAGCCGCCCCTGTGTGGCCGCTGCTGGGCTCAGCGTTCTGGAGGGATCTTCTCATTTCCTCCTCTGAGCCATGCTATGCAGCGACAGTTAAGGTGACCCGGAGTCTGACAGTGAGAACCTGCTGGTCCTCTACACCACAGCATGGGCTTGGCGACAAAGGACTTCACTCGGCTCAGCTTCAGTCACTAGACCTAGGAATGAGATTAACCCACATGGAGCTGGTACACCGCGTGCCTCAGTGCATGCTTGCTCCTCACCATTAGTGTCACCATAGAGGAGGCTTGGCAGTAGCCCCCCAGAGCCACTTTGGGGCTTCACAGCAACATCAGGCAAGCACTCAGCACAACACGTCCACACCAGAGGCGGCCAGTCAGGGCTAACCATGCACTGCCTTCTTCCTGCTCCTACCACCTTTATTTTGCATTTGAGAAAAATGTCAGGGAGCACAAGGCTTTGGACTCAGAAGGCTCTGAGCATCCCTCATCGTTCCTGTCAAGGTCAGCTGAACTTCCTGGCCTTTCCAAAGGAGAAGTGGGCACCTGCCCAATGGGGTCCTGCTGGTGACCGGGACTTGGTGAAGGAGGAAGAGAAGGAAGGTTCATCTCCCCAGCTCCACATAAGGAAAAGGGCAAAAAGGAGTACCTGTGGGGGCAATCTTTAGGAAGTATGACTTGCAGGAAGCAGGAGGAAAGAAAGGTGCTGCCAGGAATTATGGATATGTGCCTGTCGAGGACATCGAAGAGGAGATTTCTTTTTATCCTTCTGGGCTAAACACTTGGGTGGAGGCTGGCCTGAATACACAGGGCGATGCGTCTTTGTCACATGAGAACACAGATAAACCAGACCTCACACGTGCCCTCCACCTCCAGCATCAACGTGTGCCGACCCCGACCCACCCATCAGAAGAAACGGTGCTTTGGCAGTTAACACGTTCTTAGAAGATGACATGGGGCTTCCTACAATCAACCTGTGAGTGAACTAAAATCTGATCTGTGATCGCTCCAATTATACAGGACCTCTAACGACAACTGCATTTTCTGTGGTAAAATTCTAATTCTTTTTTTTTTTTTCCATTCTCTACAATATATCAAAGCTGAAGTAACTCAAACACTAAAACAGGAAACCAAAAACAAAAGAAAAAAACCCTAAAAACAAAACTAAAGACACTGAAGAGCCGGAAACCACGTGATCATGCACTCCGCTCTTCCGCACAACCCGGGGCTCCTGGTGGCTGGAACACTAGCTTCTCACTGGGCGACGCAGTAGCGTCTGCTGTGCCTCCAAAACTCCCAGCGCTGCTCCGGGTGTGGGGTGCTCCCCATCCTGCTTCTCCAGCCTGCCACACAGTCCTGAGGCTCAGATGGCTGCTTCCTCTCCAGGCTTGTGCATGGCACAGCCCCGGACCAGCTTCTTAGCACTGTAACCAAATACTTGAGAAAGTAACTTGGAAAAGGGCACACTTCTCCGGGCTCACAGTTTGCGCAACTTGAGCCCGTGGTTGGCTAGTTCGCTGCATTCGGGAACATCACAGCAGCCGGGCAGCAGAGAAAGAAGACAAGACCGAGAAGGCCCACCCCGTGAGCCACTTCCTCCAAATGGGCACCACCTCCGGTCAGCTCAGGCAGCTGCGAACCCACCAACTGACTAATCTACCGCCGAGGTCAGCGCCATCGTGATCCAAGCACCTTTCCAGGTCCCACTCCGAACAGTTCTGCACTGGAGACCAAGGCTTGCTTCCGTGTGTGCTGGATCAGCTAATGCCCAACTTGTAACATCCAGCTGAACTGATGAGGCAGGGCAGTGGGTGTACATGGCACACCTGAGGATTGGTGCCCACATCACAGAAAGAGCGGGAGGGAAAGATGGCCAGAGAAGCTTGTCTGTATCACACCTGCAAACCAGCGTGAGGTAGCCTCAGCTGTTCTCACTGTTGGAGCTCAGTCCTCACTGCCACTGAGGATGGCTGCGCTTTCTTCAGCGGAGCCCTGGTCCTTCCCTTGAGCATCAGTTAGCCTGTTGGCACAGATCCTTCACCCACCCGCAGACTTCAGCTTCCACAATGGGCTCCTGGGCCTCCCAGACTATGGAGGGTATCACCATGGGCTCTAGATAGGCAGCTAAGACTCACGCAGGACATTTTTAAAAAAATTTTAAGTATAGAAAAAAATCACAAGCAATACAGAATTTCACTTAACAAAGTAATATGAATTTCACAGTATTTGTTATAATACATAGTACTGTCTTCCAACCAGTTGTTCATATTAGCACATGCATGTTAAAATTGGAAGAAGAAAAGAGATGTATACAAAATTAAGAAGAAAAAAAGTACAAACAATTGAAAAAGGAGATAAATAAATTAAGCATTAATGTCTCCTTTCCACAGACCAGCAGAGATGCATAATAAAGTTGCACTAGCTCACTGCTTACAAATGTAGATTAAATCTATTCCCCCACTCCCTCTCCTGTCCTTCTCAACTCAGTAACTTTCTCCTTTTGAATAAGTTCATTCCCTTTTCCCAGTATCTACTGTACCCTTCAGATTCCATTTTTCTCTTTCAGCTTCTCACACTAAGGAGACAATATGATGTTTGCACATGTGGATCTGATTTATTTCACTTAAAGAGTATGGTCTCTAGTTCATCCATTTAATGACAAAAGACTCAAATTTCTCTCTCATGCAGGACATTGCCATGGGGGCCAATCCCTCCACTGGATTCTCTGGTCTCTGTATGTGGACAGATCTCCCATAGTCTTCTGTATTTAACTCCCTGAGTGAATATTATAAAATAATCCTATAAATTATGTGTCCTGTATTACATCTATTCCCTTGTAAAGCCTGACTACAACAATGAGGCTTCGGGAGCACTTCATATCTAAACCAGGATGCCATGACATTCTCTGTACCCAAACAATAAAATCAACTGCATGCAGCCCAATGACTGTCGCCCACGCAGGCAGAAGTGGTGTATCAAAGACTACTTAATGGTCCAGGGAAGGCAACATCAAATCTGAGCTACGGCAGAAAAACAATTTAATTTAAAATGGTGAGGTACCAGAGGGAGTGAAGAAATACACAGTAAAAAATCCCTCTGTCAGGCACAATGGCACACGTCTGTAACCTTAATTCAGGAGGCTGGGGCAGAAGGATTGCAAGTTTGAGGCCAGCCTTGGGCAATAGTGAGACTCTACCTCAAAACAAATAAAATGGGGTACAGATATAG